AACTCCACACAGAAAGACCTGATGGTGGAATTGAACTCAGGACCTTCTTGCTGTGCGGCAACAGTGCTAACCACCGTGCCACCGTGCTAAAATAAAAAGCAGTGTATATGTATACATATGTGAATGGAACTATATACATGGTTTATGTGTAGGAAACATTGAAACAGACTGGGACCAAAATAATTGCACATGAGCCAAAAATATTGCACAGAACATGGAAAGACTGAGAAAAAATGGGTTTATATGTGGGTGCATGTAGTCATTCTGGGGGTAGTCATTTATGCCCAGTCCAGGATTAACACATTTGGGCGGAGGAAAAAGAGGGGATTAAAATACTGATAAGAGAACAACAATAAGTTATTATCATTACTTGTGTGATCATTACCCAAAGGAGTAACGTATTTGTCACAAACCGGCTGTGTGCAGGCAGGAAAAGGAACCATAGGCAAACTCACGGAAGCAAGACGTAGACTCATGAAATACAATTTTATTGCTAGAAGGAAAAAGGCAATACAAAACAATACAAAACTAAACTAGAAAATACTAATGGAAACACAGGGAAAGTCACATAGCTATGAGGGAGTACGTGACACCTTACTGATGGAGACACTGACCTAAAGACACAGAGGGATAAAAGGGACACACATGGAACACAGCTAACACGACTAACCATAATGAGACAGGGGAAGCTAGACTGAACAGAATGAAGATGAAAACACTGGACTGTACATTAAAACAGGAAACATGATGCGGAGGAGAGGCAGACAAGTGGGAGTGAGAGGTCGCGAGGGAGTGCACAGACATGAATGGCTGGGCAAAAAGACAAAAACAAGAACTTACACAAATAAACACTGACACGCAGAGGGCAAAAACACAAGGGGAGAGTAAATATAACAAGATTAACACAGATTAAATTTAGGATACCACTAAGAATAATAAACCATAACACAACAGGCCATAAAAACACAGGGAACACAAAATGCTGGGTCAAAAGGACCCAGGACAATGACAGTATTACACCGTAAAGCTTAGTAAGGTTATCTACACTAAGACAAGAAATTCATTGCAAATACACAATACTAAGATTGTAACTTGATTCTGAGGGCATAATACTGATTGTTTACTCACTGATAAAAATTCCAACTTCTACTAATTTAAAATAAAATTGTGGTAACTTTTTCTTTTATCTAAATCACATTATGTTTAATCTCATTGAACTTAAGAGATTTCTAGTACAACACTTAATATAACCAGTGTATGTAATTATGATTCATAATAAATAAACCACACTTCTTGTAATGAAATTAAAATCAGCCCAACTTTTATTTTCAAGTGCAAAAAAGTCAGTCAAGACTAGGGATGGGTATCGTTTAGGTTTTATCCGATACCGGTGCCAAACCGGTACTTTTGAAACGGTGCCGGTGCTTAAACGGTGCTCAAACCGGTGCTTAAAGAATGGAGAACACAAAATTGAAATTGAAAAACCTCTCATGTTCAGCTGTTTTTTTGTAAAAAGATAACAATGTTAGCCTTTTCTGCAGCTATAGGGCATATATGGTATCACTCTTGGCTGGAAGCAGCTTAAACAATGGAAAAAACACAAACTTTGTCCAAAAACCTCTTTTCCACTTTTTCTTTGGTCATTTTAGCCTTTTTAGCCAGGGTGAAGGGAGTATCTGCCACCAAACTGGCAGGGCTAGGGGCAAGGACTCTCCTCTTCGGGTTTTTGGGGGATGTTGCTACTCCGGGTCCAATAACAGGCACCACACCCGCAGTAGATGCGCTCGGTGTCGCATTTTTCGGCTTTTAAAAAAAACGCTATGCGTCGCCAGATGTTTCATCGGATTTGAGGTGTTACTTCCTTTGACAGTATCACAGTATCAGCTTAAAGCAGGCTGCTGAGTTTGCATATTTTGCTGTGAAGTACAGCCAGACTTTGACCCGCTTCGCCTTGGGCATTTTTAATCTGTAGCTCTGCTCTAAAAGAACGTACGTACCTGGACCCACCTACTATCCTCGGAAACGTAAAATGATTGGCTAGAATTCAAAGTGTATCACATCTCAGGAAAAAAAAAGCACCGAAATAAAGCACCGAAATGTGCGCTGCTTTTCGGTCTGGTTACTACCGTTTATGTCAGAACCGATACCGGTACCCATCCCTAGTCAAGACACTGGACTCTGTTCTGCTGAACAACAATTAAATATATTGCCTGCATTGTAGCTTGTGTTATTTAATTATTTAATTATAATATCAAATGTAAAATGTGTGTTTATTTATTAGACAACTTAGGCTTTCCACAACTTTGTTTTGTATTTACAGGACTTATATAATTAAAATAAAAATGTATTTATTGTTCAGACACAAGTGCAGTCAAGGAAACGATCATATTCTTTAGGAGTAATAAGGACCCTTGAACACCAGGCAGAAAATGTTCCCTCTAAGCCAGAAGGGAAAAAAAGGAACACACACATGTGAAGGAAGCTCTTAAAACATGTGGTTATCCTAATTGAGCTTTCATCAAATCAGCAAAGATGCACACAAAAGAAGGTCAGACACCAACTAGGGAGGATCAGAAAGACAAATAGAACAATATTGTAATTCCTTATGTAGCAGGTTTATCAGAGAAACTCAGGAGAGTGTTCTCCAAGCACAACATCCCAGTGTACCAACTGTGACGCAGACCCGTTTTCACAACTTGGCTGGTGTGATTAGGAAGAGGATTAATAGGGGTCCATGACCCTCTTGGGGACACTCCCATAGGGCTTAAAAATCTGGTACTCTCCACCAATTGCTGTTAGAACTGAAGGAGCATCTCGGATAAAAGGTCTTCAAGAAACTAACTGCATTATTACACTATCACCAAAAAATACTGTAAATTTGATGTAAACAGTTATCCCATCTATTCATTTTCTTCCACTTAACTACTGGGTCATGTAGGCTGGTAGCCTAAACAAAGAACCCCAGACCTCTCTGTCCCCAGCCACCTACTCCAGCTTATCCATGTGGTCATTGTGTTCTGGTCCTGGTACATGCCCTGAACACCTCACCCAGGAGGCCTCCTTGTCAGCTAACTGAACCACCTCAACTGGTACCTTTCGATGTGGAGGAGTAGCGGCTCTATTCTGAGCCCTTCTTGAATGACTCTTCACCACGACAGACTGGTACAGCGCCATCACTGCACCTGCAGCCCCAATCCATTTATCCGTCTCTCGTTCCCCTCTTTGCTCACCCTCCTGAACATGGGGCAGAAACTCATCCATGATGCAGGGTGGGCACTCCACCTTTTTCTGGCCGTGGACCATGGCCAAAGATTTGGAGGTGGTTATTCTCATTTCTGCCACTCCACACTCAGCTGTGATTACTCCAGTGAGAGTTGGAAGCTCCACAACCTGATGGCTATCCAAGCCTGACAGGACCCCTCTTCAGCTTCGTGGTGATCATGGAGCGGTGTCATTCAATGTCTCAATTAATAGTGCCACCAACTTATTTTTTTTGAAATACCCGCTAAATTTTTTTTATTTTCAACTATAAAGCCAACCTAGACTTTAAGCATTTTAATGGGCCACTAATCTGGTTTATGGCTTTGGACTTTCACAACAAAATCTGTATCAAAAAAATGTTTTTATAAAACAAATTATCATTATGATTATTCAAAATATAATTAAACCAAAATGTTTGTTAAATATATAAAGGCTAGATTTGCCATTTGTAGATGTCACAGATGTTTAAAAGCACCCACAAAGCATTAAAATCAATACAGGGGTTAAATTCATATGTTATAAAAGTTCATATGGATTGAAGACAAGCCCCACCCACAAACGGCTGCACCTTGCGAAAAAGTTTTGTCTGGGCTCTTATCTAGTATCCTCTCACTTATCTATTTCAAACAATCAAGAGAAAATTTTACTGAGATTTTTTATATAAGGCTGCGGGGTTAATTTTTAAGTAAAATGAGCCGAGAGGCAGCAGCAACGCTCGGCACTAGCTACCTAGAGAGTTCATAAAGTTTAATAGGTTTCATAAGGTGCTAAACAAAGAGAAGGCACAAGAACAGTTTGAATAAGAGTAAACATTTTCTCACTAAATCAGTGTATAATGCAATGCAATGCCAACAATAATCTATTGAGCTAAAACTTCTCCAGGTTTGCTCAACATATTCCAGAAAAAAAATGCAGGCACCATGGACATGCGGACTGATCTATGCTATGAGGAGGAAGGTAGTTCAATTCAATTCAAATCAATTCAGTTCAATTCAATTTTATTTACATAGCGCCAAATGTGAAATAAAAAGTCGCCTCTAGGTAGGGATTTTGCATTTTCAAACCATATGATTTTATCCTTCTGCACTGAGAAGTAAAATTTCCAGCTTACTTGTAAGTTTACTTTAGATAAACAGAAGAGGAATATAAAGATAATGAAGGTCACAGTTTGAATCAGTCGTATTTAATTCAATACAGTGATGAACTGAACTAGGATCAGTCCAATCATCAGCAGTTTGATCCACGTACGGATTGAAGTGCATCTGTGAAAATGTTGGACTGTTCCTTTATCAGTGTGTAACAGTGTGTGTATGAGAGCCATGTAATGTCCATGTGTGCATGCTGACTGTGCTGCTCTGACCCCCCTCCTCCTTTCAGGGTGGAGCCTGCTGGAGTCCGATGGTTGAGACCAGGTCTGAGGAAGTGTAAGTGTGTTTTTAATGGGATTCATGAAAACAAAGCAGCACACATTCAACCATCTTCATCATGTCAGGAGTCATCATCAAAGTGTCAATCAATGAACAGATGATGGATCAATAACTGCAGCTGGATTGTGTTTGTTCTCTCCATCAGATTCCTGTCAACTCACAATCGACACAAACACAGTGAACACAAAGCTCCAACTGTCTGACAACAACAGGAAGGTGACACGTGTGGAGGAGGTTCAGTCATATCCTGATCATCCAGACAGATTTGATGTTCATCAGCTGCTGTGTAGAAATGGTCTGACTGGTCGCTGTTACTGGGAGGTCGAGTGGAGAGGAGACGTTTTTATATCAGTGAGTTACAGAATAATCAGAAGGAAAGGAGACAGTAATGACTGTTTGTTTGGACACAATGATCAGTCCTGGAGCCTGTACTGCACTAATAATGGTCCTGTTTATGTCTGCCATGACACCAAAATCGTATCCACCTCCACCACTGCCTCTGTCTCTAACAGAGTAGCAGTGTATGTGGACTGTCCTGCTGGCACTCTGTCCTTCTACAGAGTCTCCTCTGACACTCTGATCCACCTCCACACCTTCAACACCACATTCACTCAAACTCTTTATCCTGGGTTTACAGTCTGGCCTAGTTCCTCAGTGTCCCTGTGCTGAGTTGAGTATAATGAGTTTCCTCCTGTTAGAGAAACACTCTGGCTGTTGAACAGATAGTTCAGTCTGTACATGTCTGTCTCTTTCACTCAGAAACACCTTTTCAGATTCACGGACTCAATCAGTTGATGTTTGAAACTCTTCTAAATGATTCCTTTAAACTTCTTCCTCTTCAGTCCTTTAAAGATGGAAGCTCCAACTATTCCAGGATCCACGTGTTGTTTTTCTGTCTTTTTCCACTCAAAGCTTCACAGTGAATATCAGTATGTTGTGTTTTTCTGAAGCTCGCTTCACAACCAGCTCCTCTGCATTTTCAACAAGTCTGAGCTCATTAAACTTAATCCAAATGTTTGATTTCTCTTTCTTAATGGGATGTTTCCAAACTCTCCACATGCTCTGACTGTTTCACTCATTGTTGGAAGCTCATCATTTGAAACTGTTCCAGCCATATAAGATGAAAATATTGGCTCAATAGATTTGAATGCAATTCTAAGCAGAATCTGATTGTATTGAGGGATCAAAATGCATGTGGCTGATCTAATAAACAGCAAAGGCTTAAATCCTCCTTTGAAGCTAGTCTTGTGTTTTTCACAGACATTTTCAACAGTAATATTTTGCAGTCTGTTGGTAACAGCTTTGTTTGAATGTTCTTAGAAATGTGTAAACATTCCTATATAGCATTGCATATGTTCTGTATCACAGTGTTTGGTTAAAGAGTTTGTCCACTGTGCTGCATCCATGAGCTAAATAATGAACACCAGCTTTTGTTAATCATTTCTTATTTGTGTTTGTCATTTCTGATATGAAATAAACTTGGTTGCTTTCTCACAGTGTTGTGTTCATATGTTATACAAATACACGCACAGACTTGCTTTTTTCTTGTATTTCTTATATGGCTTTTTCCCCCCATGTTATAATGTTGTCATTGAACCTCTGACAGTCTGTCCTGATATGAGTTATGGTGAAGTGACTCAAACATGGTGGTGGTGTGTTGACAGTGTAACAGCAGCATTGGCGTGGTGTGAGAGTCCAGCTTCAGCCTTTATGTTGGACACTAAGATCTCTCTCTCCTTCGGCGCTCTGGCTGGACGGAGCTCAATGAGGGCTCCCGCTGTTGTCCCACACACCTGGTCGCTATTATGTGCCATTATGTGTCCACCATTTAAGGCCAGGACACAGACACAGACACTTGCTAAACACATGACAGACATGACTGGCTAAAAGAAAATGGAGAAAGAAAGAGGGAAAGAAAAACAGTGGGGAAGAGAAACGTTGATAAAGGGCAAAATAACAAAAACCAACAAAACAAACAGATAAAAATTACATCTATCATTCACCTGGATCACCTGTTGAGAAAGAAAAATAGAGAAAACAAGCAAAAAAAAGAGAGCAATATAATGAATAACATCATTGCGATGATCTATGTGAATATAACAGTAAATACTAAATATTAAACATTATTGTGCAGCATGTAAGATCGACAGCGCACAGTGTGCTTTGAGGTAGGAGCCAAAAAGGGTGTAGTTTGTGTGTGTGAGCACCCGTGTGTACACCTGTGAGCATGGACGTGCTTGTTTTTAACAGGTTCCTTCATGTAATGATCTGCTAGAGGGTGTGGGGGGGCCACAGCCCCATCCTCCAGGGCATGAAGCAGGTATGGAGGAAATCAGGGCTCCAGATACCCAGAGGCCCTCAGGAGCAGCGAGTCCGGTGGCCTGGCTGCTTCATCCTTGCCAAAAGAACAGCAATGCAAACAAGAGCGGAACTCACCAGGCTAGTATCGATCCGATACCAAGTACAATCAATATTTGGATCAGTCTGCCCACTAGTGATGTGTGATAGCTCTGATTTCCTTTCCGATCCACCCTGAATTTCAGGGTGGTATATGACGATACTGATCCGATGCTGATACTTTGTACAAAAACTTATTTTATTTATTTTATCTTTTATTGTATCTCAAATTATAGCATCATCATGATTAGAGGACGTCAGATTACTTATTTTTATCACTTAATAATGCAGAATTCATCATATAGAAATAATAAAACTGAAGTTGTGCTATTTGAACACGTTGCCTGCCTGCAGCACTAAAGGACTCCGCGTGAAATGTCTGTCTCGCTGTAGCAGCACCTGTCCCTCTCCTCCTCTTCAGTTCACCTCAACATAGGCCCGTCATGTTCTGTGATATGATTTACTCTGAGGTGTTTGACTCACTTTCTTGCCACATGTATCGCAAACCACGTCTAGGCTGTTTGTGGATGTAAAATGCATCTGCACATAACTCCAATTACGCTCAGCCATTGTTGTGAGTGCGCACGCCAAGGGGCTGCGACACATTTATACAGCCGTATTTTGCACATGAGTATGAAAGGCGGATGTTAAAAGATTTTACCTTAATAATTGTTTAGCTTTATTTGAATTTCACAGAAATTGTACATAGCGTGTCAGCAAATTCTTTAACTGGAACAAAGTGACCACATGAGGAAGTTGCTCAAGTTTAGACAACACCCACATGTATTGTTTTAACCCACTACAAGATCGTTAATCAACTTGTCCATCTTTGTCTTGCAAGGCTGCATCCTGTGCAGCCTCGTATGCAATCACCAAATAAGAAGTTGTTTTTTCCTAACTTGTACACGACCCATGAGTGTTACGTGAGTAAGACAGTATATAATAAAGTCTAAGCAGATGCCTGGCGCGCATTCCTGCAGGACTCTGTAGTTGACAGATCCGTGCTCAGGAATCGCCCATGTACATGAATTAACTCTGGGCCCGTGATTCTTTGCTTTCCTGAGGTTTTTCTCCT